TTCAGTCCCCTGCACAAAGAGAATGTACTAGCAAGATGGAATTTGCACTCATATTCAACAGAAGTAGCATCCCATTACTTTTGCTGTATTGTATTGGATTGTGGCAGATAATTAGAAAACCCCACATTCAAGGAGAGGAGGCAACACAAGGATATGGTTTCCAAAGTATGGAGTTAATTTGAGGCCACTGGAGAGTACATCTACACTCACCAAGACAGAAAAAGTGTATATGAGGAAACATGTCATGTGCTAGGTCTTAACACATCACTTCCACTTTCATTTCCTTGACCATACCAAATTACATGGCCATGTGGCAAAACTGGTCTTGTTGGAGGTAGGGGATTAGTTGGGAGGGAATACAATCCTACTATATACACACCTGGAAGGAGGAAAACTGTACTTTTGTGTACAGCTCTAATGACAACTGCATTTCGTTTATAAAATAAAATTGCTTTGGTCTCTGTAGAGTGATTTACCAGCTACAAACAGATCAATGAATAGAACAAGAGGTTAAAAATTATTCCTATTACTCCATTTTCTTAGCTTGGATTCCCTAAAAGCAGATCCTGAGATAGGAAATTCAGGATACAAGCAGTTTATTTGGGAAATGTTCACTGGAAAATGCAGATGAGAAAGGGGAAGGGAAGAAAGTTAAAAGGGGGTGTGTGATAACAGTGGGAAACTGGTACTCAAATCCTGTAGGAATACTCCAGTTATTTCAGCTACAGGATTAATACGGTAGGATATCTTTTCATTGACTCCCATATGTCATTGGCTCAGGTTCTCAGAGGCATTAACTGGACATTTCCAGCCTGCTTTTTGACTGGCCAGAGAAAGCATTCAGGCAAAGAGTCTCACTTGCCTGCAGTAGGACCCTGTTTATGTGTACTGGCATGGTAAGTGATGAAAGGTTTTATGTGCCAGGTCCAAAAGTATCTACTTCGATCACTAGACTTACATTGGACTGAAACTCAAGGAAACTGGACCTCAGGCTTGGGTTTTTAACTATAGTCATGTACTGTGTAATGATGTTTTGATCAAGAGTGGACCACATATACAATGAATGTCCCAATAGACTATAATGGAGTAAAAATCTACTATTCCCCCATGGGTTGCAACTGTTGTAATGTTGCAGCACAACTCATTACTCATTTTTTTTGTGGTGGATGCTGGAGTAAACACACCTACTGCAATATCAGTCATGTAAAAGTATGGCACATACAATTATGAACTGTACACATTTGATAATGATAATAACTCTGTTACTGGTTTGTGTATTTGCTATACTATCCCCTTTATTTTTTATAGTGTATTCTATTTATTTACAAAAATGTTTGCTGTAAAACAGTATGCTGTGTGGTGCTATAGCAGCCTCATATATCTTGTGTTTACCTATTTCCTGGTTGCATCAAGAGACCACCTTGAGTTTTTGACCCATATCATCTAGCTTTGTGCAAGTGCACTCTATTATGTTCACACAACAGCAAAATTACCTAACAACACATTTCTCAGATGTATCTGTGTTGTTAAGTGATACATGACTGTACTTAACAATTTGATATCTGCATCATTGAAATTCTGTGCTCTTCTCTTAGCCTGAGTTCAACTTATAAGTGTGTTTAAAAAAAAATTGTAATGAAAAGCAAACCCTAAGCTTTTAGTTATGGATATCAATACAATTTCTTCATTAATAGTATTAGCAATAATGATAAGTAATTATAATAAATAATAAGCCTTCTGAAAGACCATGCATGCTTTTATAAAATCATCAAGGGACTCTAGAAGAAGGAATAAGGGGAGAAGGATATTATTGTCAGCAACTGCCCTGACTTCTTATCACAGATGGTTGCTGTAGAAAGGGCCTAGAGGTAGTAGGTTAAAAGGCATCACAGGGAACCAGGGATTTAGCTCAGTGGTTCTGCCGCCTGCCTCGAAAGCTCAAGGTCCAGAGTTCAATCCCTGGTACCAAAAAACCCCCCCAAAAACCTAAAAACTAAAAAAGGCATCAGAGGTTGGGGAACCGGGAGAGGTGGAGACACAGAAACAGGAAGTTAACTTCATGACTTAAGGTAACTTCTGTCCATGTGTATTATTTTGCTAGGGCTGTTATAATAAAGTACCATGAATACAGTGACTTAAACAACAGAAACATCTCACAGTTCCACAGGCTAGAAGTCCAAGATCCAGGGATCAGCAGAGTTGGTTTCTTCTGAAGATTATAAAGGACAATCTGTTCCATACCTGTCTTCTAGCTTCTGGTGGTTTCCTGGTAATCTCTGGCATTCCTTGGCTCTATCTCTGCCTTCATCTTCACATGGTGTTCTGTCTGTATGCATGCCTATTGTCACATTTTTCCTTTATATACCAGTCATATTTAGTTGAATGATCTCATTTTAACTAATTATATCTTTAGTGATATTCAAATAAAGTCACATTCTGAGGTACTGGGGGGGTTAAATGTTCAACATATGAATTTTGAGGGGACACAATTTAAACCATAATACCATGTAATTCAAAATTACAGTAATACATCAGTTCAGGAATGCTTGTTTGCAAACAATTCAGTTCACAAACAAAAGTGTTCAGCGAAACTTTGCTTCTGTTTGCAAACTCCGCATTCGGTGACAAACACGACCATGACCATCTTCCCCACACAAACACAGCCATCTTCCCCCAAATCATAAAACAAATTAAGTTCATAAACCGAGGCAACATTGCATATCTTTGTGGAGCTAAAATCAATACTATCTCTTTGCAGATTGTGCCATGTGAATCCTAAAAACTCCACAAAGCCAGGCATTATGGTTCATGCCTGTAACCTAACACTTAGAAGGCTGAGGCAGGAAGATTGCTGTGAGTTTGGGGCCAGCCTGGACTACATAATGAGTTCAAGGCCAGCCTGAACTACGTCATGAGACCCTGTCCCAAAAAAGAAAAAAGACTCCATGAAATATCCTTCTTTCAAATTATAGAAATGTTTACCTTCTTTCTTTTTTTTTTTTTGGTACCGGGGATTGAACTCGGGTCCTTGTGCTTGCGAGGCAGGCGCCAGAACTACTGAGCTAAATCCCCAGCCCATGCCTACCTTCTTTACAACACAAAAAACTGTATTTGATTTTAGATAATCTTTCATTTTCCTCTAATTGTTACATGTTTGCAAGTGTTCAAGTTTCAAAGAGTGAGATCATGGGAAGCACAAGTCTGAGGCAGTGTAAGTTCTAAATTTCCTTAAGACATGTTGATATAATATCATGTAACTTATTCTGATTTCTAGATTAAGTTCTAGAAGAGCAGTAGCTCAAGTCTTATAGAACTTTACAAATACAGATTCCTGGGCCTCATGTAGATCTAGAAAATCTATGTTTTAGGAGACACGATGTCTAAAAACCTGCATGTTCATAGGCTTCTACAGTGATTTTGATGCAACCATAATCACAGGCCTGAACTTCGGAGCCTATACAGTAGAGTTTACTTCGACAGAGTTTTGGCCCCTGCTTGACAAGACTCTTGTAATTTTACATATGTCTAGTCCTTCTTCTGGGGCAACATGAAATTTTTCTTAAAATTCCAAAGCACCATATTGACAGAGCTCCATGATCAAGTATGTTTGGGAAGTGCTGAGTTAATCACAGTGAAATAAATTTATTTACTTTTTTTCCAAAATAATTTTAATAGAATAATATGTATCATTAACTAGGGTAGGGAAGGATGATGTATAACATCTTACAATCTTTAGTAAACAAACTTTTTGTTTCCTAGATCACCTCATAAAACCATTCTCGTGAAAAGCACATTTTGGGAAATAAAATGAAATCTGGAGTCATTTTCAGGTGGCGTACCTTTCAGTTCCAAAATAGTATTCAAAAAAATCTAAGAAATCTTTGAATATTATTATTTTCTTCATCTATAAAATTGAGGATATTTTCTACAAGACATCGTTAGGTCTTGTAAAAATAATTTATGTATTTCTGTTTTACATATGTATGATATTATTTAATATAAAATCTGGTATTTTTGTTTCTTGCTACTACATGCAAGAACTGAGTTTCTATCAGTATTAGGTACTATACTAGTCACCTTTGGTGAGACAAAAGAATCATGTTTCCTCAGCAAATCTAGTTATGTAAGAGAGTCAGGCATAGACACTTTTCTTTCTCTTTTTCTTGTCCCTACCCCCTCTCCCCAGTATCATCCAGACTTGTCTTTGGTATTCAGAAGTTAGATATATATGCAGCAAGAGATGCAATAAAATGTTATGTTATTTCTCTATTTGTTTTCATTATCTCCAGAGAAAAGGTGTGCCAACATGAAAATCAATGAAAGATTTACTGTTCCTTTTTCCTTAGAAGGGAAAAAATTTTAAATGGTTTCTTATCAGAAAAATTTGGCCTTGGGTCTCTGCATGACTTCCATTAAATTAAAATTAGGATAGAGAAATGATTCAATGCCAAGTAAATGCAATGCTATAGGCATATTTGAATTAATCCAAAGAACAGTTTCCAGTATTAAGAGAATTTTTACATGTTGCTAGCAGTGGATGACACAAAAGAAAAGCTGGCCCTCACGCCCTGGTGCCTGCTCTCTTCTCATGTTATGGCCAGATGCTCCATGGGGGTCATGATTCCAGATGCAGGAAGTTTAGTTTGAGGTCTTCAGAATAGCCTGCTGAGCAAGAGATTGATACCTTCCTCTAGGGTATGGTTGTCAGATTTATCAAATAAAATATAGGGTTCTAAGTTAAATATGAATTTCAGAAATTTTACTAAAATTTTTTAAGTAAACGTATGTATCAAATATTGCATGGTACATATTTATACTGAAAATTATTTATTGTTTCTATGAAATTCAAATTTAACTAGGTATCCTAAATTTAATCTGACAGTCCTGCTCTGGGGAGCTTTCTCATGATTTGTGGAAAAAATTTTGTTATAGGGATGGAGGGAATAGGGATTCTAGATAGGGCCCTCCAGTGGTGCAGTTGGTCAGTGTGTGGTACTTACAGGAATTCTAGATGTTGTGCATGTACTGAACAATCTTACATAACAGAACTGTTCCATGGCCACATTGTTACTGGATTCTGGAGTGCTGGAGTCTCCTTTTAGAGGTGATTTCTAGGTCCTTTCTGTACCAAACAAAGAATTAAATGAAACAAGCATTAAGGGTGGCAAAGTTTCACATTTATCAAAGGTAGGAAAAACAGAAAGGTAAAGGAAAAAAATAGGCTCTGCAGAGTGAGTTTGGGCCAAGTAAAAAGGGAGGAAAAATGAAAATAAAAAATACACCCTATAGTGCAGGGTGGGTTATTGTGAGGAGGCATGATTGGAACCCCTTAATGGTGACTGTCTTTTTGTATCACCCACTCCTCAGGCTGATGTCAGGTCTCAGCCATCCTACCGAACCTGCTCCAGTTCTGGGGAGAAGTCCACATGCAGGGTTCTGAGAACTGCTCTGTGCATGTGTTTCAGAGTCTTGTCATGCCTTCTTTCTGAGCCAGTTTTAGCCATGCCCTAATTTCCTATCTCAATATGACAAGAATATCCCACTGGACATTCATGAAATCAAAGTGTTTTTGAATGGTTTTAATAAGTATTTAACATACAATGGATCTTTAGACTCAGAATGCAGCAACTATGTAAATTAAGGGATGATTTTACTTTGTTTGGGTCACTGTAATCCCAGCAGTTGTATGCCATTCCAGAAAACTATTTCACCCATGGTAAATGCTTGTGACATTTACGTTGTCAGTTTGCCAGACTTCAATCATTTGTGGATGTCACCATCATAGTGACTCTTATTATTATTCTTGTAATATTATTGAGCTCAAATTTTTACATATTAAAATATTTTATTATAAATTACTTTCCTTTTATTTCTCTTTTGCACTAAAATTAGTTAATGGGTCTTGAGTCTAATTGTGGTCATTTTCTACTGCTGGAGGGGACTGGTACATCAGATTTGACTATGATGCTACATGAGTAGGTGTAGTGAAAAAAGACTTTGATGGAAAAAAGGTTCTAAAATTTTAGGTGAAAAATCAAAATGGCAGGACTGTGCAAACTCTTCAATTCTTCCTTTCTTATCTCTCTAAATTCCTCAGAGAAGCACAATATTAAATCTTGATTCTGCTTCAAATGTTTTTAAAATGTAATTTTCCCCTAGGCTGTTGGACACTAATTACATCATTGGATGTTGGATTTATTTATTTGCATTAATCAAAGTTGAGTTTTATGAGTCCTGATAAATCATAAATGGAAAAGAAATTCAGATCCTGAGGCTCCTTAGGTTTATTAATATCCAAACCACCATCAGCATAACTAATACTTCATCTCTTTTTATATGTAAATTCTTAGGCGGGATCCTGAGTGTCTGTCTCAGGACACTTGATTTTGGGAGACATCAGAGAAGTTTTATTATCATTTTGGATCAGAGCAATTAACTCTATCACTATGGACACCAATGGCCACATATCTAATCCTTGTGGTATGTGAAAATGGTCCAAAGAGAAGTGCAAGCCAATATCCTTTATCTTTATATAATTTACATATAAATATCTTTCAAGAAGCTATGCCTAGTTACAGGATTTTTGAAGAATCCAAGAAAGTGTCATTACCACGCAATGATTTAACAGAGGTTTTCTAAAGTGTAGGATACTAATAAAAACACTTCCTAGTCTGGGAAGTAGAGGTGGGGGTTGAGAGGTCACATATATTTTTTAAAAACTATTTTTTAATGATTTAGCTATATATAAAAATGATCTGATCACAGTGGCTTACATAAAAAGTTTTCTCCCTTCTCCTAACAAGAAATCTGCAGATATGTAGTACAGGTCTATACTTTGAGAAGTCATCACTAGTTCAGATTCCTAATAGCTTCCCACTGTCTTCTCATTATGTGGCTTTCTGGTTACAAGGTGGCTGCTCTGCCTCCCACATTCATGTGTGTATTGCCATCAGCAAGAAGGGGAAAGAGCAAAAGCAAAGGTACATACCAGCTTCTTTTATTGTTGGAGAGTGTGTGGAGTAACTAGAGGTAACTGTGTTACATCCTCACTTTTAAATTTTTTTATTTTGAGAAAAGGTCTTGTTAAGTCACTAAGTTGACCAGCTGGACTTGAACTTGTGATTCTCCTACCTTAGCCTCCCAGAGAGCTGGAATTACAGGCAGGTGCCACTATGTCAGTTTTTTTTTTTTTTTTTTAAGTGCTTCTGAGAAGCCTATACAATAGTTACCTTTTATATCTTATTGCTCATCACTAGCAAAAGGAAGTCTGAAAAGGTGACTACTGGTACTATGCAAAATTTTATTTATTTGTTTATTTATTTATAGTAAGAAAGACAAAAGGAAGAGCTACTAGAAGGGCAAATAGCATGTCGCTCATCTAGAATCCCAGGTACTTTTGAGTAGGCTTAACATGGAGGCCTTTGGTCAACTTCATGTCTGGAACTGAGTTGAGTGGAAGCTATTTCTGCCTCATAGGACCCAGTTCACCAAGATAGAAAGTAAGAAATAGAATATTTGTCAGTACTTAATTGTTACTAGCAAATTTATAGAAATTTTCAGGAGAATGCTATAGAAGAGAGAAAAGATAATATAATGACAATTATGAATATTTATAATAGTTAACTATTACTGGCTATGAAACTGTACCCTATAGGAAACATTCAAATAATATTTATTGTCATAAATTCATGAAAGGTAGATATTTTTATTTCCATTTTTACAGAAGAGGAAACAAAGACCAAAGGAGATTAGGTACTTTCCCAAGGTCACAAGCCCAGGAACGGTCAGGAGTTTAAGGAGTTCAAGGAGTCTAATGCCAAAGAAAGACTCTCTTCACCATGCTGTATGACCTCAGTGTGTGTGCTGACTTCTCAGACCTATTCTGAGTAGTCCTTGGCCACATACACAAATCCTCTCATTCTCTGAGAAGAGGTTATTAAGGGCAAGGAGTGGGGTTCACCCCACTCTCTAGACACCTCATTCCCCATTCCATCCAAAAAGGCAGTGGCTGCAAGCCCATTTGCTTAAGTCTGGGTTCATCACCTCTAAAATCTGGGTCCATGAACAAAAGGAATAGTTTCTTCAATAGTTTTTTGGTAAGAGCAAAAGACTCTCCCAATAACTGAAAGATGTAGTCAGCCTTCCTGGTATAAACACAGGGATCTTCCTAAGATTCATAACCAATTACATATGTATTTGAGATTCTTCCATTCCTTTCTTACAGCTACTTTCAACTTTATAACAAGTGATGTCACTCCTGAAGGGAACACTGGGATTTCATGTGTTTTAAATCTGTATCCAAATTACAATGGTGTAGCTAAATCACATTACAGTATTTGCAAATATGCAACTCATTATTTTCTTTGGATCACTGGAGTGCAGCATTAAAAATTCCAAATTTCAATTTTGGTCTACTTCCCAGAATAGAACTCATTACATCCAGTTTTATGAGTCCTTTCAGGAAGATAAGAACAGATTTCATCCCCACAATGATGAAAAATAACCATTAAAGATACCCTGTGGCTTACATCTCCTATATCCAACTTTCTCCTGTTGTCCAAATTCCTAAGGGTTTGATCGGATAAAAAGATAAAAGAGCTTAGATGGAAAGGCGGAAATGACCGTGTTAAATAACAAAGCTTGTTACCAGCTGACTTAATGAATCTCATCCTCCAAATATTTTTGAGCCTTTCATATATAAAATGATATAAAAATTGTGGTATTTATTGGCATGTTTCACGAGTTAAATTTCAAACTTTGTTGCCAGAGGCTCTTAACTGAAGTGATAACTTGGTCCACTCATGTGTCTAATGATATAGATTATAATGAAAAATTATCATTTTTATTGCCCACTAGACCCTCAGAAGTGATCTGCAGGAAAAGAGTAAGCTCCAGTGACGAGACCAAGGCTAGGCATCAAATCATGGCAAGACTAGTCATAATGTTTTAAGGGGTTTAGAACACCTGGGTTTGATCTAAGCTAAATCTGCCAGATAAGGTTTGTCAGTAAGAATTTCTAGAATATACTGAGGCAAATTGGGCTTAGTCAGATAAGACTCTAGCTAAGTGTTGGGATGAAGCATTTAAGTTTGATACAGGGAACAGATTCCAGTGCCCTAACAAAGAGAGTGAAAAGAGCTAGGCAAAATCTGGAGTTCTAGCACCATTTGGACAAAATACATGAGGAAACCAATGTGAAAACTGAATTATAAGTGTAAATCTGCTGTAAAACCTATCCTAGGTACTACAGAAACTTGCCACAGACACATGTCATGGGAAAGGTGTATTTAAGTTTCATGAGGTTGGCTCATGGATGTGTGAGCAAAAGGGCTGCCTCATTCCACAACACCAAGGGGCATGTAAAGGTTACCCACTGGCACTATCTTGGAGATGGGACTCTTGGGAATACAGTATGAATCCTGTCTACTGGAGTTGTCCAATGGTCCTGAGTTGAAGGTATGTAGTCTGCACACTTAAGGTCTTTGGAACAATTGGCTTAGTACAAAAGAACAGAGACTACTGTCAGCAAATTCCTATTTATTTGTGCATAGTTGAGACTGACTTAGAAATAATCTTCATCTTGCTACAAGCAGAGCATAACATATTACTGAATGTAAAGAACGAGGAAAGGGTTTCAGTTGAAAGTAAACTTTATTTATCAGAGGTGAGTATTCTTTGGTTCTGAGCCCCAGATTTATTTGTACAAGTTTCTCACATGAGCCTGGAAAATTTTACACTAAGGAAATCAACATCTAGCCAAATGGTGAGACCAGGTAAGGCCTAAACATTTGAACCCACAACATTTGCTTGTCAGAGATTACAATGTCTGACTAATGAAGCACATTTATTTTCCTTCATTTTTGGGTTTTCAAGATGTGACTGGTTGGTTGTATCTCATAAACACAAACTCCTTTTTTCATTTTGTTGCCCATACTCCCTTTTCACCTAAACTCGAATAATACAATATGAAGAGCTATAAAGTTTCACCTAGAAAATACTTCTTACTCAGACTTTCTTCTAGCAGTTTGTTTAGACAGTGTTATAAGCTATGATTGAGATTGATCATAACAAAACAAAGGTGGATTTGTGATCACTTAATATCCCTTTATTGGAGAAAATAAA